CACCTTCAACAAGGCGCCTGATCCAGGATTGCCCAGGCTTCTCTCAAGCGCTTCTTGTCGCCCTCTGTCAGCATGCTCCTTGGATCTGACCAAAAATAATGCAGTATACCGTAGTTGGTTAGCTGCTATGTTAGTGACTCTCTCCTGGTTTTCCTCACAGGCTGCAGGTTTGAGTATGATGAGAGTGTGGTTTCTTCGGTTTTCACAGGACAGTACTCAGTAGGTGGGCCAAGAGACAGAAAAGTGTCTTTCACTGGCTTTCCTTTGGTTGCAACCATCTTCTTCTCCTCCTGCAACCTGGTCTTCACAACATTCAGGGGGCATGCAAACAGACAGTGCAGTACAGTACAGCGCACTGAAGATTCAGGAAAGCATTGAAAAACAAACAGAGGACAAGTGGCAATTCAGGATCTTCAAAGGAAAAAATGTGTGGAATAGTCACTTGCTTCGTGTTGCAGACGGCCGTCATCTTATTGTATAGATCTTGAGGTTCACAAAGGAACCTCCCAGCATCTTTCCGCAGTGCTATGATCCTGGATGCAAAGTTGTGCAGGTTCTATGTTAGTGTTTCTGCTTTTTACCTTTCTGGAGCATGTACTGTACTCTACATGTATGGTGAGGTTTACAAAGGAATCTCCCAGCATCTATGTACAGAGGACTGAATGGAGGACTGGCCACAGCTGAATAGACAACAAACCCTAACATGGAACTCAGAGTTGAGTACTGAAGACAATGTCAGTACCGACAAGGTTCCAAACAATGAAAAGAAAACAAAACCCAGTCCATCCACGACGTCTGGAGTGGCCCCCATAGCCAGAATCCTCTGTGGCCGCATGTAGCACCCGGACAGAAACCTCCCCTGTTGAAGTGAGCTCTTGCATGGAAACCGCTTGAATGTTGCCCGCAACAACGTTCTCGAGGATCATGAGACGTGTCTTTGCCCATAGACTGAACCTCCAAGGAAGCTGCTAGCTACAGGCTACAGTACAGCTCAGGTCTCTTGAAAAGATTGCCCTACAAACACCGTCCTAGGTCAGCCACCTCTCAGTATATGCGTGCAACTTGTGCTACAGTATACATGTACAGTTATGTCCAGCCTGAAATATGTCAACGCGCTCCTCCGTCCTTTCCCTAAGTCTTTCAATTGCTTACCCATGGTGCTATCATCTTTGCAGCTGGCTGCAGATAGGTCCTCGGAAACAAAGGTCACAGCAGAATTATGTGGGGTGAGTGCTATGTTAGTGTCCGCACAACAGGTGCACAAAAGCTATCGTACAGCACAGTACACCCTCAGAACCTTTCACTTGTGGTGCCTGTTTTATAAAGAATTCTACAGTACAGTACAGTAAAAGGACTTGCTCTGCTAGAGTCGAGTAATATTCACCTCTACCCTCACGATTGCACCCTGCAAGACCAAGGCTGACTGCATCTAACAACAAGTACAGGACAGCATCCCTGGTATTGAGTACTGTATAATGTACAGTAGTACTAGTACACTTTTTCACCACGCCGGTTCTATGTTAGTGATCCCTGAAAGGGTGAAGCATCCTTGCTACAGTACAGTACAGAACAAACGGTTGGCACATGGCAGAAGTCACTTGGTTCCTGCACCAGATACCTCTAGAGTGACTACTGCAACCCTGCAACATGGAAGCCGACCTTGAAAGACGGTGACAATACTTCTCTTGGTGGGTTCTATGTTAGTGGGCCCTGTTATTGGCTTCATTAGGAGGCCTGCTTCACAAAGAATCTACAATACAGTGGGATACAGTAAATGTTGTGTTCAAGCTTCCTGGTTCCTATAGAGGCAGGCTACAGTAAGTGCAATTTTCCCTTGCTGAAGCATACGGTACTGTACTGTACAGCATGATCTGCTGGTATCAATCAACAGCCAGCCTGGTGCAGTACGGAATTCCAAATTAAGTTTGGTTTGCCCAAACTCGAACTGCAAGACAATACTGTACGTATCAATGGTTGAATCTTTTGACTCCTGCAATTCTTCTCCAATGCCTGCCATTTGGGCTAGCACACCAATCCTCTATACGTTCTAAAGCAACTCCAGTGTGTGGTGGCTCAAATGAACTATTGCTGCTATCACTCAGAATCTCCCAATCCGATGAGTCAGAATCTGGCTCTTGAACATGACGGAGAGGCTCAAGCAAGGGCAGTGCAGTGTCGTGAGCCACAATGATCAATTGGTGGCAAACTTCCTGTAGACTTGGCTCGGAAACTGGCATGCGCATTCCCTTCAACCAGGACATGCTGCCTTTCACCCTTGGGATCCACTGTGCTATCACCTTTGCACAGAGTAGGATAGAAGCTTCCACCATGATGGCAAAGGAGGCAAATGAGCAGGAATCCATGCTTGCAGCAAGGAAAGGTTTTTGCTTGAGCCAAGCCTGAAATCTAAACGGAGGTTCTATGTTAGTAGATCCCTCCCAATGCAACTTGTTCAAAACCACCCGGACACAACCATTGACCAAGCTTCCAAATCCACACCGATCGGCAAATCGCAGCCCTTCATCTTCATCGGATGCCGGCTGCAATGGGCTTTGCAGAGAAATCTGCCAGTGCCCAGAATCTTTCGCACTTCATCACTGTCTGGGCAAGGTCTCTTGATACAGTACAGCGGGCAATACAGTACATTAGACAATTTTCTCTACATGAAAAGCAGGATGCAGCTTCCAGGTTAGAGAAGACACTACAGTTCAGTACATTATATATAGATACAGTAAATTTTCTTCACATGAAAAGCAGGATGCAGCTTCCATGTTAGAGGATGACCCCCGAGCCTGAAGCATTTTCCATTTTGCTTCTCGATTTGGAATCCAAGACATCCAAGACCTGGGCAAGTCTACTGTACTTCACCCACTCTCTTCAGTCTGAATGTTTCTACTGTACTCGCATTCTGTTCTGTTTGAATCCAACACTGTCCTGCAGCCGCGGTGCATCATTGAACTGGCACTGCTTCCTGAACCAGCGGTCCCGTAGCAACCCCTGCTGAACCATCAGGTCAGAGTCACAGCAAGATACCTCAGCGGCTCTACAACCACTTCAGTACTGCAAAGCAAGGATTCCAACTAAAACACAAATCTGCAGTACTAACCTGGAACCTGGAACCAGACATGTACTGTACTCTCCCGGAGAGTGTGGCCGAGCCACATGATTGAATTTGATCCCTGGATTCTGCTTTTCAATGATCTCTGCAGCACGCCCAGCTGCATCCATCCTGAAAGGCAGCTTCCATGTAAGTGGTTTCAAAACGCATGCAAGAGTACAGTAAGCAATGCACAAGCTGCTGCACAATTGCAACAGTACAGTACTCCATCCACAAAATATAGAAGACAAGCTTCCCGGTAAAATGAGAAGAAACTTTCAAGGTCACCTTCTGAACCAGTAGCGGTTGCCCAGTCAAAGAATTGGCATGCTCCACAGCCACAGCCACTGCCTGACATACTGTAGCAAGAACTTGTTGATTCATTCACTCATTGGTTCATCCATAACCCATACTTTGTCCATCCATCCATTCTTTCATTTACAGTACAGTATTCATCGATTCCTTCATTTCACAATGCCAACACAGACATCCTTATGTGGTTGCAGATGCTATGTTAACGTTTCCTCAACCTGGCCTTCCGTGCCCAATGAGCAGCTTCCTGCACCGTCTGTGGAGTAGCCTCCTCCAAGTCAGGGGACTTCCGCGGCCATGCAGAAATATATTCCTCTCCATTCGCCAAGCGGGATTTCCCGGCAAATGGATCCTGATGAGCATGCTTTACACTTCAGCATGCAGTACTATGAGTTGGTTGTGTTCTATGTTAGGTTCTATGTTAGTGCTACTGTAATTCTTCTTTTTTGAAATGTTCCGGGTTTCATTAACATGTATACCACAAAAAGAAAAATGAGAGAAAGGGCTGGGGAGTATGCAGTGTGTGAACAAACAAAAGCTGCCAGCAAGAGGCGTGCACGTTCATGTTGTAAACCAGCTGCCACCGGCCGAGATTGCAGCACTGCCGCTCTGCTATAGGTATGATATTGCACAGTAAGTACTGCTGTACTGTACATGTGGAATCATGCGGCACTGATATCCTTCAGCATTGATACTGTACCCTTCACTACTATTGTGATGCTACTGGAAAAGGAGAACAATATGCAAACATTGAAACATACTGTAGAATGCAACCGTCAACATTGATACTGTACCCTTCACTACTACTGTGATGCTACTGGAAAATGAATCATCTGGCTTGGGGATACAGTCATCTTGCAGCTTTGAACCCATAGTCCAGGCACCCAATGCATCCAAGAACATGTTTGCCACTAACATGGCATTGCAAAACATTGCACAGACAGGCTGGTCTCAATGTTTCTGCCTAAATTATGCGCTTCTATGTTAGTGTGTTTTCCTAGCAAACACATTTTTTGCACTAACATGGCAGTGCAAAACCCACATAGGCTCAAGCTGGTTGTGTTCTTTGTTAGTGCTAATTCCTTTGTTTTTCTAGGTTCCGGAGTTCACTAACATGTATGCCAAAAATTTATTTTTGATGCTCGGCTTCTACGTATAAGAGCCGGAGAGTATATGTCCCTTTTCTTCCGGTCCAATCTGCCAATGTCCGGTGGGCGCCCGTCGATCGCTCGGCTTCTTCGACGACAGAAGGGCCGAGGGTCTCGGGACGAGAGGGTCGAGGTTTGTCGAGGCAGGGAGGAGGATCGGAGGGTCTGTTTGTTCTGACCTCACTTGGGACCAAAATGAACCAACAGAACAGCCAAGGCATGAGTCTTGAAAGTGTGGGAAATGCCATGTCAGCTACTTTCAAGTGGCCCTATATACCGGAGCTTTGGTTTCCTACAAGCACAATTAGCTGGAAAAGATGTCACCCAACTCCCTCGGTCTGTTGTTTCAACATTAACTGTGCTTCAACTGGTGGCGATTGCCAGGCCGAAGTCAGATTCATCTGTACTGGTAGCTCCCAAGTATCGCTTTTGTAGCCTCCGAGGTGAGGTGTGCCCCCACTACACGACGTCACTACAAGCTTCAAAGCTGCAGAAGAGGTGTGAAGATCCATCTTCAGTTGGTGGGTGGAGGTGGGAGGTGGGAGGTGATTGAAGGTCTATAGCCTAGAGCTCCTGTCCCACGTCCTCAGAAGGTAGTTAGATTCCCCTGGCACCCACCCCCAACCACCTTCTGTTCGGATGCACACCGATGTCGCTCACGGTCATTTCAAGGGCGCAGGTCGCCATGGGTCTTCAAGGGCGACCTGGCGCCACATGGGAACCTGGACCCGACTTCGTTCGTACCTCAGAAAATTGGCACAGAGACTCGCTGCGCCCCTTCACCCTGGTATGTTCGACTCTTGCGTCACCAATTCATGAAAACGTGGCCTCTCGGGCTATTGTGATGTGATTGGATTTGACCGACGTTTTTTTGGAGTTGGTTTAGGGTCCTATCAACCTCGGCATATTCGACTCTTAGTTGCTGGGTGGTGTCGCAACAGCACACTCATCCAAGTTGCCTCCTTTATATCAACCTCACTACACTGTATGGCTTGGCCTAGAGCTGGCTCGGGACCGGTGAATTTCGTCAAAGCCTAGCAGATCACTGAAATCACAAAAGGTAGCCTGGTACGTTCAAGGTTCCCTTGAGAGTTTGCGAAGCCAAAGGGGATATATCACCGTTGGTTCAACCTCATCATGTTTGCAGTCGTGTCATCAGGTTGAAGGCTGGATGGGCGGTCTGGGCGATCTGAATCATAGTCATCCCTTCGTGCAACAAGCGACCTGGCCGGATGAAGCAGCGGGAGGAGTCCTCGGACTCGACGCGTGGTCTAGCGGGGTGGGCCTGAAAGTGTCGGCCAGTGTCGGCGCACCTGGAGAGTCCGGCAGCTTAGACCTAAGAAAAGGCACCATGGGTCATGGGTAGGGTGTTTTGCCGGATGTTTGGATGAGAAGCGTCTTCTTGGCAAAGGAGCGAAGCATAGGTGGTGATTGGTTTCTGATGGTTTCGGTGACACTAGCATCCAATAGAGCATATGCGCTGACGCAAAGGACGACCACCCTGATTTGGTAGAGAAAGGGATTGTGCACTTTTGCGGGTGTGTTGGTCAAACTCTTTGGGCGCTTGCAATCCCTGAACGATCACCATTGGTGTCGATCTGGTGCTGGATGGTGGAATATCTTAGAATAACGTCGGAACAAGAATTCTTGGTCAGAACAACCAAACCAGGCTCAGGGTTTTGGGGTCACAGAAGCCGTAATCAGGAATCAATGGGTGTTGACCAAAGTTGAAATAAAAACAGCACAGCCATGTTGGGTTGGTCACCAGTCGTCTTCTTCCAAAAGAATGCTGATGGGGAATTGTTTGCTTGGGGGGGCAGTGGACAGAGGATGACCAGCCTTGCTTGCGTCTTAGGCGGAGGGAAGACCACGTCCGCCGGACCAGCCTTGGTGCTAGTGAAAACGTCAAGCACCAGCCTTGGTGCATGTAACGAAAATCACCTGTAACCAAAAACGAGTAGCCACGAGGAAGGGAACGAGGAAATTATAGACGTCTTGGCCACATGACACGAAAGGCTGAGAAGACCTCGACTGTCGAATGACCTCGAGGTCCATTCCAAACTGGAGTCTTTGGAACCAGCACCTTCCAACAGGTCTCCTTTGGAGGGCTGTTAGGCCCTAACAGGTTTCAATCGGAGACCTGTTGGAGGTGCTGGGAACATGTTGGGGATGATGTAGTTGACGAGTTCGTCCACCAAGTAGCTCTACGGGCCAGACGGGATAATTGTGTGCGTGGCTTGCCACGATCAACTCGATCAGAACCCCTTCCGAAGCCGCTTGCTTCTGAGGAGTTGTTGAACTACGCGGTGGATCTCGTGCAGGACTATGGTGCTGACGCCCTCCGACTGGACACGGCCATTTATTTGGATTTGCAGTTCGTGAAGGAAGTGCAGCAAGCCGCTGGGCGCGCGCTTTCGTGAGAACGCGGAGAGTCGGCGTCGGAGGAGGGATGAGAGTGCATGGTGGGGCACATGTGGTCATGAGAGTCGTGAAGGACGTCGAGACGCCTTAATGTAAATGCATGGTGTGAATATCCCTCTATGGATGCTCAAAAGGCAACCCATGCAGAAGCTTTCTCATGCTTTCTCTATTATATAATTGGGTAATTTTAGTATGCATCATGACCGTAAAGACCCTCACCCTCGTGTCCCGTCCTAATGGTGCATCCTTGGCCTTTCACGGCATGCCACGGATTCCCACCGAGGCCGTAGGAGTGGAGATTCTTGGGGAAGCTACGGTGAATAACCTCACCTACCAGGCCTACTTGATCCTTGGCGCAGACAGGAGAGGTCGACCGGACACGAGGCGGAAGGCCGTCAACGGGCCAGCGCTGGCGCGCTGGAATTCCTCCTCCAAAATGCTCGGGGTGGGTAATAGTCGTGGATTTGCTCGATGTTCTGGAGGTTTTGGGGAGACTTCTCCAGCTGGGGGTCTAGCAAAAGCACCGGCTTGGGTCGTCTTGTCTTGTCTATAAGCATGTCTTTTGAGAGTAGGAGTTCCAAAGGGTTATGGGCTATGGGCACGCCATTCAATGGGTGGCACACTGGCACCGTTGGCACCTCTTTGGGCAAAGCAGAACAAACGCGCCGAAATGCTGCAGAGTGGAGAGTCACGTACGCCATTGGAAGGTGCAAAGTGACCACAGGTTCCAACCGCCCGATGAAAATTGGAGAGGATGTTGAGATGTGTTCAGCTTCGCAAACGCCACAAGTGGCAGAGTGGCAACCTACACCACCCTTTTGCCAAACGGTGCAACCTAGATGGATCCATATGGGTCCCCAAATTTGCTTGTCAGGAGTATTTTGTTGACAAAGCATGATTAAATAGAAGACAAGCCAAGAGCTGATGGAGGATGAAACATGATGAAACGGATCTTAAATAGGTGAAGAGAACATTACTTGACCAGATTGACCGCACGCGCCTGCGTACATACATATGAAGCAAAGTTGTATGGACTTAGCTGCTTCGTCACACGCGTTCTGGCACGGGTCATCTCCGTGACCGGTGGGGACAGACCACCCTGGCACCCACCTCAGCCAAGCACCGAACCGCAACGGAGGTAGGGAAAAGGAGCTTCCAACCCCGGGCTTTCCAGCCCCTCTCGATCCATTTCGGGTGGGGTGATTCTTGGATGGAAAATACCCAGACACGACTAATGGGACTGTCACATTTGCATACATTCGGGTGGTTTCAGGGGTCAATGTAGGCATATACATATACAGATATTTCATACCAGCACCTTCCAACAGGTCTCCTTTGGAGGGTTGTTAGGCCCTAACAGGTTTCAATTGGTGCTGGTACATGGAGTCTTTGGGATACATGAAGGGGTCTTTTTCCCTTCACCTTTTTCTCCGGGGAGGTACCACCCTGGAGGACCTGACGTGAAGAACGTCCCAGCATCACTAGTACTCACACCTCCCCAGCCGGGTAGCCTTAGGATGCGAGATGAGAAGAACGATACACGGCGGAGATGAGTGGCTGGAAGTGGGGCCAACGTGTGGCTGGAAGGTTCCGGAACGGGCGAACCGAAGGTTCCGGATTGGGTGACCGGGGTGTGCAGAGTCCAGCTTAGTGCACTAGTGCGGAAGTATGTGTGTTTTTTGGGACAAGGGGAACAGAACAGAAACAACATAGTGATAATATAACTTAGACCTAATGTTACTGGAGTTGATCATACAAACCAAAAACAACTACAGCTCAATTGTGCCATGCGGAGCGGGCACATGGAATTCCCTCTTTGTGTTCTTTTTTTTTCCAATGGCAGATGAATAGGTTGACACAGCAGTTTGACATAGGTTGACACCTGTCTTCAGAGACTGTCGTCAGAGACCCTGTCCCAATGGAAACCATATTCTTACTTGGGTGGCTCAAAAAGGTCCATGTAGGCGCATGAGTTCCACTTCAGAAAAGCAGTTTACACCGTTTGGGGAGGAATGAAGATCCTCAATGCCACCTTGGGGGAAGGAAGTGAAACTACCAAGTGCGTCGATTGAGCTGATGTAGAGGAATGAGCCCTACACCGACTTCGTCGTACCTCCTCAGGTTCGGTATGACTGGACCCGAACATGGCACCAAGAAAAACCCCAGGTCCCACCGAAACGAAACGAAGCTACGCCTAGGGGGACTGTAGGGGACCGTAGTGGGAATCACTCCACGTCCAACCCGAGTTTGGGTGCCGTTCAGCGTCCACACGCAACTCGGTTGGACGCTGTGGACATGTGTGGCTTTGCCACGTGTTGACGGCCTGGACCACTGTGGTGTCGTGGGGTGTTGGACGACTTGGTGCCAAATCCGTTGATTCTTGGTGTGTCAAGTTCGGTCGCATGCTATTCTGAGTGTTTCTTCACTCAGGAGAGGATCTTGACTGGCTTGCAGCTCGGTAGAAAGAAGAGATGAAGTCACGAAGTTATGAGAACTGATAGGGCTGCTCCAGGGCTGGGATCATGGTGTCCGTGTTCTTCAGCCGGCTTGGAAATTGGTCAATAGCAACTGGCATGGTTGCCTTCCTCCTCCAGCAAAGCTGGTTTTCCCCGTGGCAAACCTCGTTGTTGCACCCCAAAACGACGCTCAGATACGCTCAGACCGCACAGAGTCGAAGATAAGGTATAGGCTCCGCATGGCTCCGCACATCGCCAACTCCGCACGAGTCGAGGCTGAACTTCCCCCCGTTTTACCAAGTGCCGACTGCCTTCTGTGGCTTCAACATGGGTCACCTGGAAAGCACCGACGTTCACGCGCTTCTGCAGAAGGAGGACGTTCGATGTTCGGACGGGTCGCACTGAGTCGCACTCTGCTCTGCGGCTTTGACCGACAAATGGCGAGTGCCAAAACGAGGTTGAGGTTGAAGAGGTTGCGAATTGAGGTTGCAGTTCGTTTGGAGCAGCGGGGAATGGGGGTTGTTGGGGCACTTCCGATGGTGTGCGGGTGGCCATATTTTGGGTCGCTGCCCCTCCAAGATAATGTCGATGTCGGATTATCAACGGCCCCCCCCCCCCACAAGGTCAACAAGGCTTGAGATTGAAGGTATTGGAGGACCACATACCCCTAATAAAGGTGACAAAATGACGACAAGATTAGGACAGATTGGGATTGGGCTTGGGATAATTGGAAAAGAGATGAAAGAGATTGGAAGACAAGATTCTTTCTTTGATTGGGATGATTAGGAAAAGGAAGAGGCTTGCAGGATGAAAGTGATAGAAGACAAGATCGAGGCCACAGGCTGGACTTGATTGATAGGGGTAGGGGCCCCTACTATTAGAGGGAGGTCCTGTGTGAGGGGTACCCTTTGTGAGCTTGAACACCTTAAGACTTCGATAGAGTTTTAATAAGGATAAACGAAAAAATGCTAGCGATGTTTTTCTGCTTTAACAGGGAAAGATGAGAGGAAAAAGCAGGATGAGAAGCAGAAGGAGGATGAGAATGATGGATGAGTGGACCAGAAGATATTGGATACTGACCCCACCAAAAAAAATAGGTAATTAGTTATATTGTATAAATAAACTAGTGCAACCAATTTTATACATGTTTTTCCGGTGCAGCTGGGCTTGATTAATATGGGGTGTGTTTCTGGCCAGAAAAATAAGTATTAGGGGAATGTCAAGGTGTAAATTCAGGTTTTAAATCAGTTTAGTAACTGGGCTTGATTAATAGGTGGGGTTCATTAATCCTTGGTGCGCATTACATGGAACTTAGGCCTCCCTATATAGGACTCTTGGCCTACCTCTCGGTGGAATCCAGAAGCTATAGATCGATCTATCCTGATGGGATGAGATGCCCATCATCTTTGGATACCTAGGGCTCCAAGTAATTAATTACATTCGTTTAGAAGGTGGTTGGGGTGGGTGCCAGGGGGGTCTAACCATTGAACCTGACGATACGGGCCAGGAGCCCTAGGGTAAAACATGCAGAGTATGTGAAAGACCAAGAGGTCATTTGCAATTCTTGAATGCTGGGTTTCTTAAATCAGCTCTTGGAATTTGTGTCATCCGCTTGATCAATTTCCTGTGACCAGTTCCGCTGCATTGTTCTCCAGTTCACTGATCAGCAAGTCCAAGACTCTTTGTCCACAAGGTCACCGGTTCCACTATCTTGGAAGAGAGACAGACAGACTGTCAAACAGACAGACAGCCAGGCAGGCAGGCAGGGAGGCAGGCAGACAGACAGACAGACAGAGACAGCGACAGGAACAGGGACAGAGAGAGAGGGAGAGAGCGCAACCTACACCCTTAGATGTCATTATCTTAGAAGAGAGACACAACCCCGCAGACAGACCCTACTTGAACCAGAGTGAGGAATGAGGCAGAAACTCTAGTATGTGTTCATTTGTGTTGGACTTGAACATCTTGGCAACAATCATGTTGTGCTGGATGTTTTCCGTTTTTTGGACGCGTTCCAGGAATTTCTTGATCCATCCGCTTCCCATCGATCCATTTCATCCTTTACGGAGTGGCCCCATCCATGTCATCACATCTCAACTCAGCTGCCCAGGTGGCGAGTTTGGAGATTGGAGCATGCAGGGGACCTGGAGCGATAAGGGCCCTGACATGAGAGGCTTAGGACAGCGCCCCGCGTGAAGGCGTTCGTTCGCTTTGCGTTGCGCGCGATGTTGCTGGGTTGGTGCGGTGTATTTGTTTGGTCACAGGTGGTGGGTCTTTTCGAGGGAAACCAACGATGTACTTGTCCTCGTCCTCGTTGGCATGGTTTTCTGAAGAATCGCAGCCCAAAACGATTGCTGGAACGACCCTGTGGTTTCACGCCTCGAAGCGACTGGTGCGATCTCCATCCGGCGTAGCTTCTCGGCTCATTCGTAGCTCGACTCGGTCCGACTCGGTGCAGGCGGAAACTTCGATTGATCGATGCTGCATGGGATGAACTTTCCATCACAGACTCCCGGCTGTGGGCCAAAACCGCCAGAAAACCCTGGCAGGGTTGACCTCCCGAATTGATTCTCAGAAAACCAGCATCAGCCGGCTTTGACCCACTGTATCCCACTATACTATATATACCCTACGTTTCCAAACGCGATGTTTACCTAAGCATTTGACCAACTACCAAGTTAAACTTGGCATTTCTTGAACGTCGATGTTTAACCCCACACTTGGATCGTTCACGGTCTTTCACGCCACTTCTTTTTCACTTGTTGCTTCGCCTGCTCTTTGACTTTGGCATATTGCGTATACGCCATTTCAGCGTTTTGAACCTTTCCCTTGCAAGGCGCATCATACCCCATTCTCGTTTTGAAGGCTTTGTGGTGGAAACACGGCGTCCCCAGCCTCAGCAAGGGCAGCTATGAGGCCATTTTCTAGGATTAGGATTAGTGGACCCCTCGTCAGAACAGGCACCTCCGAAACAAACAAAAGTCTTTTGGAGCAAATGGAAGATCAAGACACACTTGAGAACCATCATTTGATCTTCGTCACAAAAAGTGTGGTGGTAGCGAGGATTGATACCTGACCGATCTCATCTCATTCACGAGTGCATTTCTTAAGAGGAATTCATCCTTTCTGCCCAAAAAATGCTATAGAGCCATGCGTCGATGCTGGCGAACCCCTTCCGTCAAGACGTGGGCAAATGCCTTGTGCAAATCCAAAGCTCCCACCCACAAAGCTTGAATGTTCCAAAAGGGCATTGAGGGGTCTTGAAATCCAAATATTGGCTCAATCAAGAGAAGAGACGTGTGCTTTCGGCACGATGATCCATGCTAATTTGCCGGTCCTAGAGACGTTGCTGAAGCTGGGGGGTTCAAAAAGCAGCAAGCTAACCGAAATGAAGGTCCTCATTGTCATGTGGTTCAGGCGGTAGAACAACTTCAAATACATGGCCCCTGCATCTTCAATGTCTTTGGCTTGCTCATGGCTCCTGAGATCTAGAGCATCATGTGCACTAGTCACACTCCACAATTTCAACCATGAAACCCCTCAGCTTTCCAGGAGGAAAGGACCCCAAGGAAATTCCATACACATCTCCCTACTTTTTTGGTCGAAGCTTGAACCAATACAGATGTGGGGTGTTGTGGCGCCTTGATGGCCTATGCGTGCAGAAGAGGAGCAAGTACCTCGAGGCCCGTTCACAAAGCCCGAAGAAGCGGTTTATGGCCCTCCTGGGCTGTTTTGGGAAGGGCCACACTCAGGGTTTGTCGATTATAGGAAAGACTCCTAAAATATGGTACTGTCAAAAGAAAAATGTGTACAAATGGGCCTGGGTTCAATGCACCTTCTGCAACCACCGCCCTCTCATCATGCACTAGATGGGGAAATCGATTTCCATGACCATTGACTTCGATGAGCATTTCCATCAGAAACTCCGATACTAGCCTTGCGTTGAAGCCCTTTGCATTCAGAAAATAGCCATATCCTTTTCGATGGAGTTGAGAAGGTTTGAAAGGCCTCTGTGAACTGTGAATCTTTTTCTCCCGCATCCACTGACGGAATCTTTGAGTGGCTCTTTGAAGTGGTTCTGTAAAGTCTTCGGTTGCGAAACCGAACACATTCATTTCGACCAGCATTCCCCTTGGCTGGGCTGGCTTACAAATATTGCGCGTGTGAACCGAAACCCGAACTTGAAGTTTCAGGGAATAAGTAGACAAAATGAATATGACCCAGTGACAAAACTGAACCGTTGGAGATGCCCAAAAGCCCCAAGTTGCAAATATGTAATGTGCAATGCATAAGCACGTCAATGGTGAAGAAAGGAAGACAGATGAGAGGGCCTCAGGTCAGCATTTCCACTCCCAGAGCCAAGCCCTTAAACCGACATGAACAACACCTTTTAAAACTGAAGCCAGTTTGGCCACACTCCGAGAAGCTTAGGGGGGAAGTCAACTCCTCCAAAATGAATTCCTCTGTCGAGCGCAGTGTTCCTGCCCAACCACTTTGATCATCGGATGCCCCTGGATAATGGGTGTAGATCAACTCAGGATTTTTTGAAGATGCTTTGCACCTGTAACAGACATCATTTGATGTCCACCTGGACTTGTAGCGGAAAATGTCAGAAAAAAACATTTGGTCACCTCTGATTTCAGAGGTGAGGAAATACATGCCGTTTACCCCCTGTGCGGCTGCTTTGTGGCATGACTCGACAATTTCCTCCAGCACTGGATACACCGTGTGTTCCATCGAGACAATTTTGTCTTCATATATGCTCCACAGCATGTACCTTGACATCCTTGTTGATGTTGGTCTGAAGAGGACTATATTCAGGAAAAGTCCTAGGACCTTGGCCATTGGTTGGTTGACGAGTCCCAAACATGCTGAGTCCCCGTAGAGCCCTATAGGGACAACCTGGCCAGACCCACGGGCTTCTCTGAATTCCTTGGAGCTTTTGGCAAAGGAATGCCCCACACTATCCAAGTGGTTCCAATAGTCCAACACACTTTGCTTCTCAATCTCCAGCTTGCACGTGTTGAACAAATATTCCAGAATATGATGTGGTAACTGCAATGGCAACTCTTCTAAAGATGATGAGCCATCGGACATCTTCACCGGAACATTGATTCTCGAAGGTTCCTCAGATTGGTTCATGTTTCTTTGGGCCCCATGTAGCCTAGCTGTTCATGCATCTCCAGAGCCCCTAGTTTCATGGCTGTTTTTTCCATCTGCAATCAGGAATCGAGAGGCAAATTTTGGTTGCGCCAAAAGTCACGACTGTAGTTCTTGCCACGATAACTGGCCAGCTTTGCTGTCCAGCTAGTAGTATTCCCGCGAGCTTCCTAGGATAAGTGCAGATCACTAGTCATGTCCTCACAGCTGTCAAGTCCAGATTGCTTGAAAAGAGTATACTAGTATACCCACTCGCCAAGTATCTTTGTAGGTCGATGACGCTGATCGCATCACCGCATATGCACTGCTTTCCTTGTGACAAAAAAAGGCACGGAAGAATATGGAAGAATCAACAACGGTCGACAACGGTGACAAGCGGGGCCAAATTGATGAACTCTTTTGCAAACTAGTGTCGCCAGAAGCCACACGTTCTGAAAGATCCCGCTCCAGTGGACCATGCTCCTCCTCGAAAAGGTCACCTGCAACGCGACAAGCAGACATCCACAAAGCTAGGTTTACAAATACTGTTGCTGCAGATAGTCTGGACACTGCAGCATGAGCGCTAGGTGGTGCTATTTTGTCATCGCAAAGCTTCCATCCTCAAAGTTTCGAGAGAAATCGATCTATGCGCAAAAGCGTGACCAGTCCCTGAACCCACGCAGCCTAGCTATTGAGGCTGTCACCCATCAAGGGTAATCACACCTGCGCCTATCAATTTTCCCTTTACACTTTTGCAAAGTGGCCGGCCCCCTGGTCCACCAAACAGACATGGAAGTCATTGCAAAAGACTGGACATATTTATCATTGCAAAGTAGATCGTCCGACTCAGTTGATGAGTTCACAGACCAAGGCGTGTTATTGCCCGCACCACTTGCCATCATTTCGACGTGAAAATCAAAACTCAGATTGGCAACGCATGGCTAAGGCCTTTAAGCCTTCCGTGCCTTCTTCACTTTAAGTGGTTCACAGGCAGTTTGAAGCTCCTTCTGAGAAGCTTCGCAAGCAGCAATCAGTGGACGCGACACCTTAGTCGTATTGTCGTTTTGCCCAAGCACTGCGTACTTTGCTAGTGGTAGTGTTCCGACTAGTAGCTTTGCCAGCATCCAGCGCCGCTTGGAGAGCACCCCGCTTTGCCTGGGGGAGTGTGCGTTAATGCAACTATAATGCAACTATATTTCTAGTACATGTGAGCAACAGGGAACACTGCCTCACATTCACCCTTCTTGTCATCCACATCGGCTTGAACAGAAGCACGGAACTTTGTGCTCCTTGGAAACACATACAACTCAACTCATAATCCCCATGTTTGCGCCGTACATGGATGCACATGGCACTTTTTGAGGAGCATACAATGTCTCCATGTTCGGATAGCATTCAATCGCTTGCTTGATCTTGGAGCTTGCATCATTGATTGCCTGGTTCGACCACCCGTGGAACCAAAAAAACTCAGAGCCAACATAGATCTATATAGCTTGAAACAAAGCGCCGTGTGCTATCATATGGCGCGCGTACCTTCTTGGCATCCTTGGTGAGCTGTTGCATCTCTTTGGCCTTATTCTCTTGTTCCGCCACCTTGGGGTCTTTCTCAGTTTCTTTCTCAGGTTTCGAGTCTTTGTGTTTTTTGTTCTTTTTCTCCTTTTTAGTCTTATCCTTCTTGTCCTTCTTGTCCTTCCCTGACTTCGCCTGTGTGCATAGTAGACAAACTGCCGCCTGCTACATATATGAGATCTGCACATAAATCTACACATGAAACAGTGGTGTGAGTGCTATAACGTTACCAGCCTTGGGCTTGGAAGCTTTCCGCTTCTTAGATCCACAGGAAGCTGAGCTGTCGCTACTGCTTTCATCGAGGCAGCTGAACAGCCTGTCGATTTCCTGTTCTTCCTCATCCTCCTCTGCATCCTCTATTAGGCATTTGTATTGCTTGCTCGCCTAGCAACGACTAGATCATTTTCAATTGTTGATCCTAAAGGTTTCCGAGACGTGAAGTGCGCACAATGGCATAATGGGACATGTGTTTGATGTGGCCTCAACCTCAGGTAGGTCGGGGTGGTAACGAACTTCCGTAAGGGACAGCTGCGGGTCCATTTCCTTCCGATCCCTCATCATGGTGGCAATCTCCTGTCCAAACCTGCACGCACCAAACGCACAACCTGCGCACTCACAAGCCAACAAAGACCTAGATAGCTAGTCTAAATATATACACTACAAGTCAAAGACCTCATTTGACTGGAGATGGTCATTAAACGAATAATCATTTAAACAAAGACAAGGTTTTACTGGGTCTTTCGACTTGTAGGGTATATATATATAATTCATGCATGCTATGCTAGGCACCTGGTGATCATTTCCGAAAACATCATCCAAACACGTTTGCCCCTCTTCCGGGTTAGGTGTCGCATTCTGACGTTCTCGTAAAACTTCGAAGACTTCCATTGCCCTTGGCACTGGCTCCACGCATCAAATAGTACAGAATTCAGATCAGAACCTTGGGTCGTTCAAACATGGTCTATGAGCTAGCTAGTGTTGCACGTGTTCCAAGGTTATAATAACATCACTGCTGCTGCCCCAGCTGCTGCCATGTGCCTCCTGCCCCATCTTGCGAAGTTCAGCTGGAGTTGAGGGATCTTAGATGCGACTAGAAATTGTACGGACCCAAGTGACATATACCTTTAAAAGTACTAGGGCTCTAACTTCTGATGCTTCGAAAGTAGCGCATGTAGCGCGCATGTGCATCTTTCCTTCTCCTCTCAAGTTCTTGTGCTTTTCTGGTGGCCTGAGAGCATGGGAACGGAATGAGTGTCCATCCCCTAGAGTTTCTTGGGATCAGTGTTTCAAAATGGGGCATGTGCTGCGGAGGATTATTGGACTGGCACTCTTGTAGTTGAGAATGGAAAAGCAAAAAGGGTTGGCTCGATCAAGACGCACGTACCGTGCTTGAAACATGTGTGTTCTGCTAATCAGCGCCTCATCATCAGCATTTTCACCTTCATTTTCTTTGTCCTTCGATTCTGCCTTTCCTGAGCCGTCTTTCTCATCCTTTGCCGGCTCCTTCTTCTCTTTCTTCTGCTCTTCTTTCTTCTCAGCTTGGGCCTTTTCCTTTGCTGCCTTCTTCTCCTGCTCTGCAGCCTTCTTCTCCTCTTCTGCTTTCTTCTTTGCTCGGATCTTTTCCTCTGCTGCCTTCTTCTCCTCTTCTGCTTTCT